AGAAAGAAAGAAAGAAAGAAAGAAAGAAAGAAAGAAAGAAAGAAAGAAAGTCCTGGTGGATAACAGAAAGTAAAGAGAAAAAAAACTCAGAATGAATAATAAACAGGAACTATTGTCCTGTGACAATGATGGTGAACCTTTTGAGCTCCGCGTGTCAGCATTTTGAAAAACCCTAACTTAACTCTGGTGCCATGTCACATATAGAAATTTTTTGATATTTGCAACCATAGTAAAACAAAGACTTATATTTTTGATATTTATTTTATATATTTAAATGCCATTTAACAAAGAAAAATCAACCAAAAAAATGAGTTCGCGTGTCACCTCTGACACGCGTCATAGGTTCGCCATCACTGTCCTATGACGTAAGGAACTTCAAATAGAGGATTAATGTATAAGAATCAAAACAATTCATAATTGTACTACAACAAAGAGAACATTTAGAACCCCACTGTTGGCACTGAGACCTTGGATAACAGAGAGAATGTGTAATAAGTATGACTCAGGACCCAACCCAGAGACCCAGTGGTTAACTGCAGTACATTTGATTCCAGGTCAGCTACCAGGGAGAGTCAAGGATGCTCAATCCCACTCAGTGGAGGAATTGAATTGCCTAAATTCTTTCTTGATTAATCTGGGGGTCAGGGTGGGAATGATCCAGAGAGGCGTGGACCAAGGGATGCAGCTATGGGGAAGCTAAGAAAGCACAACACAGAGAAAGTTACACAGGGACGGACTCATATCAGGTTTTGGCTCTTGAAAATGATTCTTAAGGCAGAATTTTTACAAGCTGGAGTCTATCCAAATGGGGACTGAGTAATGCTCTGGAAAAAAAAGTCATCTGATAAATAGCTCAAGAAAGGATGTTTGAACTTGAAAGGCAGAGCTTTTAGAAGTCACATGATAGCCATTTTCAAAGAAAAAGTTGCAGCATATAGGCCCATCCGTAGATTTTCTTTTTCCTCTGAAACTCCAGAAGATAGAATGGGACTAAATGATGCAAATCCTAGGGAGGCAGATGTTGTGTCCAATTAAGAAAGAGCACACTAACGATCAGACGTGGCTATAAGTGGGATGGGCAAAAACTGGTGAACTTTCAGCTCTTCCATATTTAATTAGTGGGTGTGTGAACATAGATATAAAACACTTCCGTCAATGAGAAGTCAGGTTAAATGTTCTATCAAATCCAGCTCTCCTCTAAGATTCTCAGTTTCCACGACATACATGAAATGCTACATGTAGTTAAGATGATGGGGATTATGAATAAAGAAAGTGTGGTTGGAAGGAGTTTCACAGAGTAAGTAATATTTCAGTCAAGCCTTAAAGCACATGTATATTTGGAAAGCAAAAGAAAAGCAGTGAGTGCGTTCCAAAGGTGGGGAACCATGCAAAGGAAGAGAAGCAGAACCGCTTCACGCATCCTGCGCAGATAGACCTGGCTGGACTAGAGTGTTTCTGTTACGAAGCTGTTTCAGAAAGTTAAACTATTAGGCAGGAGCCCGATAGGAGAATACCTTCAAAGCAGCCTGTAGAGGGCCGCCTGGGAGGCACCTAGGCATTTTCTTATAATTATTGTCAGCTGAACTCAGAGCATAGGCAGCCACGCCCTGGGAACATGCTTCCCCAATAAGGCTGGACATATTAATAAGGCAGGGGCGGAACTAGATATGTAAATCTAGGCCTTTAAAATAAACCTGCTGTGTGGCTCAGGCCGCTTTTGCCGCCTCTCCATCAGAGAGGATGGCGCCCACCTGGCCCCAGCTTAAAATCTATTTCTGCGTCTTGGTCTTTCTATAATTTCTTAATCCCCAGCTCCTCCACTCAGCAAATGGACTGTTTCTTTTTCCATGCGGGACATGGAAAAGAGAGAAACACCACCCCACAGCAGCCTAAATAAATAAACTAACTAACAAATGGGGGATGGGGTGTTAATGTGCTGGTTCAAAAGAATAAACTAGTCAGATCTGAGTTCAGATTCCAACCCTATCACTTGTTAGCTGTCAGACCTCTCAAAGCCCTAATCCCTTCATCTGTCAAATAGGGACGATGAAGATAATTATATTATCTGCCTCATAGAGTTGTGAGGATTCAATGAGCTACTAAATGTAAAGCCTGGTACCTAGTACGTAATAAGTGATCATTATAATTATTTTTATGAGAGAGGGAGCGGTCATGAAGAAAGGGAGAGAGAGAGACAGAGAGAGAGAGAGAGAGAGAGAGAGAGAGAGACTCTCCAAATGCCCAAGCACAATATAAATATTAAAACAATGATTGATTTGGTCCTGAAACTTAATCTATCATGAACATATCTTCTTAATCTCTGTCCTTGTGAACTGCTTTAGAACTTTGTAAGATGCTGGAAAAAAATAGAAATGTTCTCGGATTTTTTTTTTATTGCATGGTGACAGAAAATCTGCAAAATGGATTTTTCAACCTTTAAGGAACCCACCTGTTGAAAATTAAGTAAGCACAGAAGAACTAAGTCTAACTCCCCAAATGACCTACCTCTTTCTGAAAATCAACCAGGGCTTTCTGGAATGACTTTGCTTTTTCATCTGTTCCCCTCAAAAGCTCTACGTTTTTATGGAGAGTCTCATTCAGGACTTGTTCATACTGAAAATTAAAGAATATTGTTAAAATTGTTCATGCCAGAAGGTAGCATTTTTATTTTTCAGAATTTTCCAAAATTATCAAGTATCATATGTGCACATACCTCAGATCTGTAGGTAACTCCTAAGATACCTGCCGCGACCTGCAGGAGCAGGATCAAAAGCAAGCATATAAAAAACTGAAAAAGAGAAAAAGGAACATCCATTATCCCCCAGTGCATTCGGTAACATCTTGGGCATGTCAGCATGGTGCTTCATTCTACAGTCTAGATCATGTTACAATTTGAAGTAGTAACCATGTCCTTTATTGATTCTAACCTTTGCCTCAAGAAGCAATTCTTGGGACCATTACTACTCAGAAATATTTGTACCAAAGACTGACTATAGAAAGCAGTTAAAAAGAAAAATTATTCATAGAATTGCAGGCATCAGTATGCTGTTGAATGGGGGAAAGTTTCAAAACTCAGATGAAATTATTTGAATATTATATTTCTCCTCTTTCTTCCTCAAACACAAACTTCAGAACTGACTACAAAACAACATTTCTACCGCTATCAGAATCACCCAGTCTTGTTATAAATGCAGATTCCCAAACCAGCCTCAGATCTATTAAATCATAATTTTGGAGAATATATCCCAGAAGTTGATTTTTAAAGCAAGCTCTTCAAGTAAATGAATCCCAATTGCAAATGAGGCCTTATTAATCTAAGGGCAACCACTATGGATGCTAATAAAGTTCTGTTAAAACGCTGTCCTTACCTTCCCTCATAATAAACAGTTAAAAAATATTTTTTAGGGACTGACACAATACTTACTTTATGGGAGAAGCAAGTTGAGGTGAATTCTCATAAACACTTATGTCAGATTTATACCTAATAAATATGTGATGGTTTTTCTAATGTGTTTTTTATAACCATTTATTATTTTCTACTCTTTATTTTAAAAGTGGAGTCTGTGGGTTAGCCCAACTGAAGCCGTCCTCTTCAAAGCTTTCTAAGTGACAGATTGGATTACCTAACTCTCTTAACATGAAATGTGATTTTGCTACAGTCCATACTCAGACCCATCTCCCATTGTTTACCAAAAGAGCCTCTGCCACTCTAGCCAGACCCAAGGCCTACCAGTTCCCCAAACAGGCCAGCCATGCCCAAAGCCTTATAGTTCCTCCAAAAATCCAGGGTGTTTTTTTTCTTGGAAAGCACATCACAACCACATCCGTACAAATACCTTATTTACTTCTGCTTCTGGCTTGAAGTTCCCTTCTATATCCTTGCCCTTTTCTTCTTGGGCCACTCCCACAGTAGCTAATTATTTATTTGTCTGTCTTCTTTAATGGGTTCTAATTGTCTTAATGCTTCTGCATCATTTAGCACACTATCTGGCATGTAGCAGGTACTCAGCAATAATGAATAAGTGAATGCTGAAATTTGTCTTCTCTCAGGGTACCCTCTAATCTAAGCTAAACATATTAGCTTCCAGAATCAAACCTGCTAAACAGAAGTCAAGAGTTTCATCAGTCTTGGCAAGTCCTTTTGGCAGGCGATGGGGGTGGGTGTTGGGATTGGCTTGAGAACTCACCGTCAGAAGCATGCAGCGACTCTCTTTCATGGCACCACAGCATCCAAGGAAACCCAGAATCATGATGATAGAACCCACAGCAATCAAGATATTCACAGCAACATAAGGATGCATGTCACTGTCCTCACTGAAAAACTGAAAATAAAAAAAAGAAATCAGAAATCCCTTTCCTTGATGTGTTTTAGTCAACAAAAATCCATTGGATGCCTACTATGTGCCTTAGGACCTTAAGATACTTCAATGATTGCCCCTAACCGGTTTGGCTCAGTGGATAGAGCGTTGGCCTGCAGACTGAAGGGTCCCAGGTTCAATTCATATATATATATGATACTTTAATGATCTACACCAGCAAAAGTATCTGCCCTCAAGGAGCTTACATTCTATTAAGGTTTTACTTGTCTGGATAATGTTTCCAACATTATACTTTTCTAAGAGGAACTGGATATTGGATGGAGGCAATGTAAAAGGCTTTGAAACACCAATTATTTTAAATTTAGAAGGACATGTACTTTCACCTATCATGTGCTCTTTGGTTTGCATATTTTGTGTTTTATACATAAAAGTAGCATTGTAAAGCATGTGTTTCTATGGCAATTAAATGAATTATAAAGCCCAAGTTTCTCAAACTACTGAGAGTTTCAAGAATATGAATGATCTCAAAAATGAATTAATCTCTTAGCGAGCTAAATAAGCCACATTCAAAAGAGTGATTATTGTATGATTCCATTTATATGACGATCAAGAATGGGCAACTAAACTATGATGATAGAAATCAGAGCAGGGGATGACTGTTAGCTGTGTAGGAGAGAAAGGAGGAGCTGACTGCAAAGGGATGAGGGAGCTTTTAGGGGTTAATAAAATGTTTTATACATTGATTATAATAGTAATTTCACAGGTCTATACATTTGTCAAAACAAACAAAAAAATTAAACTAAGAAAAAAAAATCTAGTACCTGATATTTCATATCAATTCTATCTCCTTGTTCCCAGAAGATATATAGTCCACAGAGTCTTCCAGAAAACTCTTCAATTTGCCTGACTGTTAAGTAACAGAATGTTAAGGGAAAAAATCTTAGGTCCCTATGTGGGGGGTTAGGCTATACAACCTGCATAATTTGATTCCTCTTCCCCACACATACTCTTCTTCATCACCTTTCTAACACCTAGCCTCAATCTACCACTTGCTAGGTGTACTGGTTAATAATGCAGATTTTTCAATAGATGGAGTTACTCATATGTTGATATATATGCGATTTGATATGTATGCTATTTTGTTGTATTGACAACAAGCTTCAAAACTTCATATGCCAAATTTTCTGAAGGTGTTAACATCATGGATATTATTACACTTAAAAATGTCAAATTTCATGCCCCAAAAAAGAGCACTTTAGTACAAAGAGGTACCCTAAAAGATGTTCACCTAACCCTCTCTGACATCCTTCTTTTCTGTGTTTATGCTCAGGTTTCTCCTTCTAAAATTGCAACCACTGCTTTCCACTAGTAAAATCAGCTCTTTGCACAGTCTGGATTCTTTGTCACTGACTTTGAATAAATATAAATCAAGCCAATTTAACATAAGTCCAGTTAGGTAATGTTGTCCTGAAAGATAATGACTTTTGTTCAGGGTTAGAACCTGGCAGAGGACAAGAAACAAAATGTGACTAAAGATGCTGTCTAGCTCTATTAATTTATTCTTATCCTCAGGGACGCTTCTTTAACACATTCAATCTGGGTAATTTCTTAATAGACTAAACACCAAATTTGTTTACCAGAAGCACTGGGGGGAAAGAAAATGTTCCCATATCAACCAGGACTCTTAGCTAATAATAGACAAACATGTAAATTGACCGTCCCCCCGCTATGCTCACCAGCCAATCAGGAGAGTATGCAAATTAACCCAACAAAGATGGCGGTTAATGTGCATACCTATGCGAGAAGCAGCGGAGCAAAGACTGAAGGCTCCAGCCGGAGCAGCCAACAAAGACTGAAGGCTCCGGCCGGAGCAGCCAACAAAGACTGAAGGCTCCGGCCAGAGCAGCGAAGACAGAAGGCTCTGGCCTAAGCGAAGGCCTGGGTCCCGGGTGCCAGAGGAAAACCGGTGCTGGCAGCCAAGGGAAGGGAAGGCCTATTGCACAAATCTCTTCATGCAACGGGCCTCTAGTAGTAAAATAAAATAAAATACAGGCTGTACACACATCTTAAAAAGCAAAGCACCCTCTAAATAGCTGGCTGTTATGAGTAATCTCTGTGCTTTAATTTGAGACTCAAAGTCAGACATCAGTTTCTAGAAAACAGAGAGTCTGTGCATCTTCAAATGCCATCAACAGGCTCAAAGTTCAAAGCCCAAGGCCATTAGGAAGTTACAGTTACATTTATCAGCATAAAACAACACAGGAAATCCTGATGGACTAGAATGTTATCAACTAGTTGCCACACCTGTCCCTCACCCAATTCACCCAATTTCTTCAACAGGGTAAGTCACAGAATGAGGAAGCAGCTAATTCCCACTGTGATTCTCTGGTTTCTCTAATGGCAGAAATCATACTTTTAAATGAAAATAAATAAAAGAGAGAGAGAGAGAGAGGGAGGGAGGGAAGGACAGAAGGAAGGAAGGGAAGGAGGAAGGAAGGAAGGAAGGAAGGAAGGAAGGAAGGAAGGAAGGAAGGAAGGAAGGAAGGGAGGATAGAAGGGGAAAGCCACCCATTTAGAACAAGTGTTAATTTTCTTGTAATCTTTCTTTCAACTAGGCTATATCCAAAGGCATTTAGCTGCACCACAGTATAATAAGAATTCATGGAAAATGCTTTAACTGTACAGTACAGGGAGTATAGTCAATAGGATTGTAATAACTATGTATGGTGTCAAGGGATACTAGACTTATTGGGGGATCACTTCATAAGTTATATAAATGTCTACCCACTATGATATACACCTAAAATTAACATAATATTGAATGTAAACTTCAATTAAAAATTAAACAAAAAATTAATTAAAAAATTCATTACCTTAATTGATAGCTTAGTAATAACTTAATAATCATCAAATAAGAGTCAGCATTTCTCTTAGAGGAAACTTTTTGGTAAAGTTCCTTGGAAAGGCCCTAGCAGTAGATAATGTGATCCTGAGTAGTAGCAGAAGCCCAGAAAACAAAGAACAAGAAAACTATCCCGAGGGCAGTAAGGATATTACTTTGAAGGGTGGAATGACTCTGAGAAGATAGGAGAGAAAAATGAAGCAGGGAAGCAGGAAATAGTGCCAGGCATGATGTTGGGTTAAATTAATAGAACCCTCCCCCCAGCTCCACACACACACCCTCACCCTTTTCCCCAAACACACATTCTTTCCACATTTGTGACACGATGGTGTGGAACAGAAACAGTGCATGTGGATCCAAAAATTGGACACAGAGCTAAATATATGAACTAAACTTCCTCTAGACCTATGGAAATCTGGGTAAGACCTTTGCCACAGGACAATGCACAGTGTGTGTTGAGGGGGAAGGGGCATGCTAATCCTATCTAGATAGCAAGGAGCTGGAAATCCCCAGCCCACTGCTGAGTTACACCAGTGTGACCAGCCTCCTGCTGTTACCAGCAGTGGCCACAGGTAACTACCAACCATCTTTGTACACTGCTGCCTGTAAAACACAGATTCAAAGTCTCCAAGAGGACTTCTTACCTTCTTTCCTTTGGACCACCACCCCACCTTGGGATCAGCCAAATGATTGCCAATACCTTATACTACAAAAACCGTTCCTGGTGGGGAGGAAAGGTGATCATTATCGTCCAGCTACACTTCAGGCTGGCCTTAAGCACATGAAGGAAAAGGCTAACTTCCACTCAGGCCCCTTCCCACCTCCACTTTCTTTGCGATCTTCCTATTTTTGGAATAAATAACACCTCCATTCTCCAGAAGAACTGATCCATGCCCAACACAGTCAGGCACATAGTGAGTACTTTTGATTAATTAAATTTAAGTATATTGAAAAATCACTTACCAATGTAAATAATTATATGAGTCAGTTAAGGAAAATGCTATAGAAACATTTATTATAGTTGTTACTCTCATCATTATAGGAAAAATGATCTACTTAGGGATAGGAGAGGTTTGTATTTATTTATTTACCTCTTGCTCAGATTTGCTTACTCGTAGCCATATTGCCAGTGCCAGGATCAAGACGCCACATAACTGCAGGAAAAGAAAAAAACATATATTAGAGTACAACTAAGATAAACTGCAACTCTTATCCCATATACCCCCAGGCATCTGGTTACGATGGTCTGTCTGTTAATTATACCTTTAAACCCTAAAAGACATAAATAGGGCATATTCCCATGCAGATAACTGCTAAAATGGTCCACCGTAATTGGTAAGTTTGATAAGAATAATGTTTCCCATCTACAGTCCAGTCATAGGTCTAGGACAAAAAATCATCTCCAATATGGGGCAGGGGAAAAGATGATTTTCCATTTTTCAATCCTAACTCGGTGGTTTTGCTAGATTTTAACCTACAAAAGATAAATCACAACAGTTTAAAGACAAAATATCCTTATTAGGCCCTAGATTGTCTCTGAGAAGCTATCTTAGACCAAAAAAAGGAGAATAACTGACTAATTACCAAACATTAGTCAAGATCCAAGAAACAAGAAGTTGGATAGACAAAGAAAAGTAGAACATTTGACAAAATTTGCAGTTAAGCAACAAGCATTCAAAGCACTTTCTGTACCCAAATAAACTCTTTTAAAATAAGCTTTTAGGTAGTAAAGATTACTCGGAGAAGAGCTACAATGAGGAACAGTACTTAAAGTCTTAAATTCCATAAATGACTTTACCAGATTATTTAATGTGGACCAAGGCCAACACATAAAATGTGAAACACATTTTACTTTCATGTAAGGAAAACCCCTGTCTTTTAGGGTCTTTTTTTCCCCTTTTTAAAAGATATATATGTTGTGGTCTCAAAAAAAAATCAAAGGTCTATTATTAGATAGAGATGTTGAGAACAAACTAGGTAACATACCAAATACAGCAGGCCTTGGAGGACTTTCTAGACTATTCTGACCTTATTGTGCTCTGACACAGACCTGGCTGAGTCCCCCCAAAGCCCAGGGACCCTGCAGTATCATTGCTTTCATGCACAGTTGGACCACATGTCTGGAATCCCAAAGCAACAGTTTCATTTCCAATGGCTTTTCATTAAGTTTGCTATGGAAGTAGAGTCAAGGGCTTTGATGAGGAATAGCGAGTGCCATGAGTAGCTGAATAACCCGAGAATCTGTGTTCCCTAAAAGAACTCAAAAATCATCTAGGTGCAAACCCTTCTTTTCAGGTACAGAAACTAGAACCCTTAGCAGATCACAGTCATATCGTGAAAATCCAGCACTGCTGCTGATCCAATCCTGCCTCTACTGCATGCTTCTACTCCTACAAAATAAGGAATGCAATGGAAAACCAACGCTCTTTATCCAATCACCAAGTCAGCTGTACAATTTAATTATCTCATAGGCACACACTGTAAAATACAAACCATTCTTTGGAGCCTGAGAACCCTCCTTTTTTCCTCTCCCTGTTTCACCTAGTTCTAATTTCATTTGCAGATGAAGATAAAATACTCATGTTAGCAGTTCTTTGTTAATAAGTAAGTCTGTAAGAATTTATGTCAAATAATAATGAGACTCTCTGGTATTATCTGTAATTTTATAGCAGTTGGATTTTTGTTATTTTCTTTGTTCACTGATATTTTCTTTCTTTTTCTTCTTTTGTAGGAAGGCTTACATTGATTATCTTAATAGTTGCTCTGGCTTTTAGATTTAATTGAAAACAGTATTAATTATCTAAATAGATATGATTATCACCCTTATCTGATATTTATTGATGTCACTAGTAAGAAAACTTTAAGAATTCTAAGAGACTAAGAGTATAAGATTGTTTAAACCCTTACCTTTTTTTTGTTTCTATGTGACCTGTAAGTTCATGTTTTCAATGTATTTAGACATCAAATTATTCCAAAATCTTTTGAAACCAATCATATTTTCCCCTCAAATGATAACTTTTAGTCTTCTCAACCACTGGCAATTACCTGTTACATTAACATTTAAAGGAAGGATATGAAAACAATGAGATACCACTACACACCTATTAGAATGACCAAAATCAGAACACTGACCACACCAAAAGCTGATAAGGATGCAGAGCGACAGGATTTCTCATTCATTGCTGACGGGAAGCAAAATGGTACAGCTATCTTGGAAGACAATCTGGCAGTTTTTCACAAACTACATATACTCTTACCATGTGATCCAGCAATAATGCTCTTTGGTATTTACCCAAAGGAGTTGAAAAACCTGCTCAAGGATATTTATAGCAGCTTTATTCATAATTGCTAAAACTTGAAAGCCACCAAGATGTTCTTCTTTATGTATATCCAGGCAATGAAATATTACTCAGGGCTAAAAAGAAATGAGCACCCTAGCTGGTTTTGCTCAGTGAATAGAGCGCCAGCCTGCGGACTGAAGGGTCCCGGGTTCAATTCCAGTCAAGGGCACATGCCTGGGTTGCTGGCTCTATCCCCAGTAGGGGGCGTGCAGGAGGCAGCTGATCAATGATTCTCCCTCTCCTTCCTCCCTGAAATCAATAAAAAATATTTTTTAAAAAGAAAAAGAAAAAGAAATGAGCTGTCAAGCCATGAAAGAATATGGAGAAAGCTTAAATGCATATTACTAAGTGAAAAAAGCCAATCTGAAAATGCTACATACAGTATGATTCCAACTATATGACATTTGGAAAAGGGCAAAACTATGGGGTCAGTAAAAAGATCAGGGATTACCCTGGCAGTGTTGCCCAAGGTTAGAGCATCAACAGAATACTGAGGTTAGATTCCAGGTCAAGGGCACATACCTGGGTTGCAGGAGGCAACCAATCGCTGTATCTCTCTCTCTCTCTCTCTCTCTCTCTCTCTCTCTCTCTCTCTCCTTCCTCCTTCCCTTCTTGTCCACTCTCTCTAAAAATCAATGGGAAAAAATATCCTCAGGTAGGGATTAACAACAACAACAACAACAAAAATCAGAGATTGCTGGAGGGAAGATGAAATGAATGGGCAGAGCACAGAAGATTTTAGGCTTGTGAATCAATACTCTGTATAATAATATAATGGATATATGTCAATGTCATTATACATTTGTTCAAACTCCTGTACAAGACTAAGAGTGACCCCTAATGTAAACTATGGTCTTTGGACAATTATAATGTGTCAATGTTGGTTCAACAATTGTTAACAAATGTACCACTGTAGCAAATGATATCAATAATGGGGGAAGCTATGCATGTGTGGGGACCAGGGGTACATGGGAAATCTCTGTACTTTCTTAATTTTGCTGTGAACTTAAAACTGCTCTAACAAATTACAGTCTTTTTAAAAAGAAAAAGAAAGAGGATTCAATTATTTCAGAAGTCAAGAATATTTTGCCCAACTTCAATCTTCCCAATTAGATCAATATTCTTAGGGTTTTTGAAGTTGGCCAAACTGTCATTTCCATCCCTTCTTCAAACATTATCATTAAAAACAAGAAATAAATGCTTAAAATATATCATCCTCATCTTATTGAAGAAATTCATATGTAAAAATCAGAGTCTTAATAACATGAAATCATTTATAAATTTGTTAAATGACTTTAAAAGTAAATTGATTTTCTGTCAAGAACAATCATTTTGTGTCAGGATTGATACCAGCCTAATTTATCCCAATTGTTTTTAGATTGGTAAGAATAGTTCTTGGAGCTCTTTTCCAGTTTGTATTTGAAGGTTTGTTCCCAATCCTATATAACAAAGAGGTAATATGCAAATTGACCCTTACACATAATGCCGTCACAAGATGGCTGCGCCCACAGCAGAGGCGGGGTTCCTGTAATGAGCCATAATGAGCAATCAGCACGGACCTGAGGCTGCATAGTGCTGGGCTGGGCCGGGGAGTGGGGGACCTGAGGCTGCACCCCCTCCCAACGGGGCTTGACAGGGACCTCAGGCCGCACCCCCTGCCCTGGTGCCAGGCCGAGGGACCTGAGGCTGCACCCCCTGCTCGGCGGGGTTTGACGGGGGACCTGAGGCTGAGCCCCCCACCCGGCAGGGCTTGATGGGGGACCTGAGGCTGCAACCCCACCCGGCGGGGCTTGACAGGGGACCTGAGGCTGCACCCCCTGTCCGACACCGGGTCAGGGGACTTGAGGCTGTGCCCCTCGCCTGGTGGGGCTTGACAGGGGTGGGGCCAGCCAGGTCTGGATCTCACCCAATGGGGGTGGGGCCAGCCGGGTCTGGGTCTCCTGCAATTTTGAGGAGCATGCAGGTGGGGAGGGACTTGACTCTGGGTCCCACGGTGCACCCCAAACTCTGACAGGAGGAAGATTTTCATATACATTTTACTAATTTTCTTTCATCTCTGACACTTCTATTATAGAGAAAGGGCAAATAGCAATATTAAAATATTTCCTCTAATTAATTCCCTTTTAATGTGCATGAATTTCGTGCACCGGGCCACTAGTCTTTTTATAATGTTTTAAATAATTGGGAATATAAATTAAGAAAAAAATGTCTAGCTCTGTCCTTTCTGTTGATAAGACTATAAAAGGAAATGGGTTATGTGGGGCCCCCAGGTTAGCTGAACTACAGAACTGACTAGGTTTACTTCCACTCCCATCCCATCCCCCAATGAGTTATTGCAGTTGTCACTCGGCTCTCATGGGACATCTTTCTTTCTTTTTTAAAATATTTTTTATGAATTTTTTTTTAGACAGAGAGGAAGAGAGAAAGAGAGAAATATTGATGCAAAAGAGAAACATCAATCCCCTGCCTCCCACAATCACCCCGACCAGGGATCAAACTTGCAACTTGGGTATGTGCCCTGTTTGGAAATCACACGTGGCCGGTACATAGGCCAGTGCTCAACCAACTGAGCCACACTGGCCAGGGCAGGACATCTTTCTTTTTATGGAATTAGGATGCTGTTGGTCTGAGCCAGCATGCTAAGAAATGAGGTAATTTTGGTTTGCTTATGAGCATGCTGTGGACTAAATTATATTGGGATGTTGGAAGTCCTAACTCACAATGTGACTGTATGTTGAGGTAGAGCTTTTAGGAGGTAATTAAGGTTAAATGAGACCATAAGGGTGAGATCCTAATCCTGTATGATTGGTGAC